AAATACAATTCCCATGATTCCCTAGCACTGAGCCAGGGCAGCTAAAGTAGACTCAATTTGCACTATTTCTAGCAATCTGCAAAGGCCCTACGTCACTTGGTTTTGCCAGAGCACTGCTTGCCTGCCCATCAAACTGTCTCATGTGTCTCATTGTCTTTATAATTGCAATCTAGAAATTAACATTCCAAAATGCAATTTTATTAAAACCAGATTTTTCAGCTGGAACATAGTTCATAGAAAATACCCAGATCAATAGCTTTAACTTCCTAGTAACTACTGAGATTTCTATGAATGATAAGAAATCTGCCTACAATTCCCCTTAAATAATTTAATTTGCTTTTTTTTTAAAAAAAACAAAAACAAAAACAAAAACTATTTATGAATTAATTCAAAGTGTACAACAATTCTAGGGCAGTTTTTTCAAATCACAACATGAAATTAGGAAGGCATGCCTAATTCATTATCAATAGGCTTAATGTTATTCAATCTCATAGATGTTTTTGGAAAATCTTTCTAGAATCATCTTATGGTATGTATTTTAAATAGCTCTATTGCTCAAGCTACAGAAAAGAAGTTAAGGGGTGTCTCCACCAAATGGGGGTGGAGTGCTCCTTCATCTTAGTCGACAAAATATTATGTTTCTTTAAATCTATTCTTCAGATTTCTGGATTTAGAAAATCTTTTGAAAAAACAGAACTTATGGAGTTTTAAAACGGGTACTTCCTACGTGTACTGACAGTGCTCATGATTCAAAATGTTTGAGCCATTTTCAACAGACTTCAGAACAATTTCAACTGCATAACATTGCAGTTGAAATTTATATCACACAAATCAACATTGGAGACATTCCCCAGAAACTGCCCTTGGTTCAAGATGGAACAGCAAGGAATGCTAGGGGGCACTTGTTTACACAATCATTTGACATTCTCCTGCATGGGCTACCAATTTATTTCCAAGCACCGTTCAAAGTGCTAGTGTTGACCTTTAAAGCCAGAAATGGCTTTGGGATGAGATTCCTTAGGTCCAACTTCCCCTCCACAGCATCCCAGAGATCTGATGGAGTGTTCCCACTGTGTGTTCCAGTCACTGCTTCTGCGGAAACATGATTGATGGGATCAAAAGAAAGGATCGTCCAGTGACCATATCTAAAGGGTAGTACAGTCCACTCTACATATCCATGGAGTATCCATTCTAGACACCCCACAGATAAAGAAAAATGTGGAACCTTGAGTCCCATTGATTTCAATGGTAGGAGCAACATGCGTACCACCGCTAACATTGAAAACAACAGGGCTTGCTATTCGTGGATGGTCAAATCCACGGATGGCAAGCCCACAGATATTGGGGACCCACTGTAATATTTGACATTCCCTGTAATTGACATCAATAAGGTTGACATCCTCTTTAACAAGTTATTGTAAGATGATTTTTAAAAATCACCTTAATTTAATCCAAGTTTATGCTCCAACTATAGAGGTAGAAGATGAAGAAATTGAAAGA